ATCTTGGATCAATTTTTATATATTTTAATATTATTTTTTCTTCAAATAATCTTAAAAAGATATTGATATTGATATTGACCTAATACATTAAAAAATTAATTTTATTATATGCTAATTTTAAGATTTAAATTTTAAATTTAATTTATAAAATAATATTTATTTACCAATAAATCTAATAATTAAGTTTAAATAAAAAATCAATATTTGAATGAAAAGACCTTCCTAAAATATAAAAGGACATCTTAACCGTAAAATACTTTTACATAAAATTATAAAATATATTGATATTGATATTGACCTAATACATTAAAAAATAATTTATTATATGTTAATTTTAAATTTTAAAATTTAAATTTAATTTATAAAATAATATTTATTTACCAATAAATCCAATAATTAAGTTTAAATAAAAAATCAATATTTGAATGAAAAGACCTTCCTATAATATAAAAAGACATAAAATACTTTTGCATAAAAGTATAAATTTATAATTATAATATAATATTAAATAAATATAATATATACATAAATAAATACATACAAAAATATTAATACATATTTATATAAAAAATTAATTAAATATATTAATATATTATATTATAAATGTATAATATCACATATAACACTCTAACTATGTCATTTTAATTATTTTGTTGTTTAGCAGTGAAATCATTTTCAAATTAAAAATAATTGACTTTTTATTTTTAATGAAAACAACATTCGGAGAAAATCAGAGACTGAGAAAGAGGCTAACAAGAAACTTTTTACGTATGGAACACAAAATAATTAGGAAAAAAAATAGTTTTTTTAAAAAAATCTATCTATATAGCTAAGTAGTTAGAGAGAGAAAAGGAAACAGCAGATATTTTTCTTCCTTTTTTTTTTTTCATTCGTATTCGTTTTTGGTATCTGCTTATTTCTTAGGGTTTCTTTGTGTTTGGATCTTCATTCCTTCGACGCCCAATTCTAGGGTTTTCTCCTTATCAGGTTATCTGCTCTCTCCCTATCTTTTTTTGCATTTGTTTCTCTCGGAATTCTTTGTACGTGAATGTGTCTGTTTCCTTTTGAGTTATATTGCTATGTTTTCTTTACTGTTTCGGAGGGGTTGCGTTTTGTGCCTGTGCTGTGCAGATCAATTTTTCAGCTTTCGTTGCCGATTTTCTTCGTTTTGCATTGGGTTGGATAATTTGCATCTGGTGATTTTGTTGTGGGAAGATTGTGGTACCCTTTTTTTTATTTTATTTTAGATTTTTTGGTTAATTATGCGGAAATCCTGTTTGTTGGAACAGGGGCATGCGTTCGTTTACATTGCCTTGTTGCAGTTACTGATGATATTTGTTCTTCTGATTATGGGTTCACTTTATATATTTGAGATTTGAATTTTTGTTTCGATAGATGGGCTTATTATTTTCTGATCAAGGTTGTCATTTGGTGTTTCAATTGAAGGTCTGATCTCACAGGGAGGCTTTGAAGTTGAATTTTTGGCCAATTTTGAGGGAATATTTTTGTTAGAATTTAAAGTTTGGAAGGGAATTCTGGGTTTCTTTGTTTTGTCTGAGGTTGTGTGAGGTTTGGTGGTTGTGGAAGGAAAGAATCGTGGATTCTGATGACTACAAAGACATCATGGGCAGATTTGGCTGCAAATTCTGCAGCTGAGAATGTGGGTTCTGGTTTTCCTGCTAGCAACGGAGCTGTTGGCACCACCTCAGCTCCTTCCCGAGCTACTTATGTTCCTCCCCATCTCCGTAACCGTCGGCCTTCATCTGATGCACCTGCACCTGCACCTGCAACTGCCCCTGCCCCTGCCCCTGCCCCTGCCCCTGCACCAGCACAAACTGGACCTGCAGCAAGTAATGACCGATCTGGGCATGGTGGATCTCGATGGGGTGGTCCTAGAAATGAGTATATTCGGTCAGGGAATACTGGTGGTCGTGGTGGTGGATGGGGTGGAAGAAGTGCTGGCTGGGATCGTGGGAGGGAGCAGGAGGTCAATCCATTTGCAGAAGAGGATGGTACAGAACAGGCATTTTGTGAGCATGAGAATACTGGTATTAACTTTGATGCTTATGAAGATATTCCAGTGGAGGCACGTGGGGATGATGTCCCACCACCAGTTAATACCTTTGCAGAGATTGACTTGGGTGAAGCACTCAATTTAAACATAAGGAGATGCAAGTATGTGAAGCCTACACCCGTGCAACGTTATGCCATCCCCATCTCTCTTGCTGGGAGGGATTTGATGGCATGTGCACAGACTGGTTCTGGAAAGACAGCAGCTTTCTGTTTCCCCATTATCAGTGGTATTATGAAGGGTGCACTTCCACAGAGGCCATTCCGTGGTGCTCGTACAGTGTATCCACGGGCCCTCATTCTTTCTCCAACCAGAGAGCTCTCGGTGCAAGTACGTTGCATCTTTTTGCTGTCTTCATAACAAGGTGACGTAATTTATGCCAGTGAGTTGATATTTTGTAATTATAATTGCAGATACATGAGGAAGCCAGGAAGTTTTCATATCAAACAGGTGTCAAGGTGGTTGTTGCTTATGGAGGAGCTCCTATTAACCAACAGGTTTTATTTCTCTTTCAATTTCCTTTTTTGCTGTTCCCATTCTAGTTTTGTCATTTAGTTGTAGTTTTGAAACTTTTTTGATGACTTTATGTTTTCACGTTTCAATTCTGCACTTGTCTTTATGCTAATGAAGGTGAACATTTAAACTGTTCTAATGGCATTGTGACAGTCTCATTTTTAACGTTATTTCTTCATTTAGTTTCTTGTCTTCCCTTATACACAACCTGAAATTTTGTTCCAGTTCTGGTTTCTACTGATCTCTTATAGTGGTTTTCATTTTAGCTGTATTATCATGCTTCAATTTTTGTGGTCATTGACTAATATGCTGTGTTTGGTCAGTTGAGGGAGCTGGAGAGGGGTGTTGATATCCTTGTTGCAACTCCTGGAAGATTGGTGGACTTGCTGGAGCGGGCTAGAGTTTCACTGCAAATGATCAGGTACTTAGCCCTTGATGAGGCAGATAGGATGCTAGATATGGGTTTTGAGCCTCAAATAAGAAAAATTGTAGAACAAATGGATATGCCACCACCAGGTGTACGACAGACAATGCTATTCAGTGCCACCTTTCCAAAGGAGATACAGGTATATTTTTGTCAAATATTAATTAAGCTAAGACTACTGATTTTAGCTGATAACCTTTTCTCTTCTTTACTGTTGGGGGTTAGTAGGTTCATCTCTTATGATTTTGGTTCATTGAATACTATGTGTTAAATACACTCATCATATTAGTCATTGAAGAATCATCTTTGTTATTGTGCTGGAAGATTGTGTAGATGTATAAATCCCTCGCTTGATTGGCCCATTTTGCTGAAGATTTGCTTATTATATTCTAATTTGCTGCTAATTTGATTCCTTACACTTTTATTGCATGTAGAGGCTAGCCTCTGATTTTCTATCAAATTATATCTTTTTGGCTGTTGGAAGAGTTGGTTCCAGTACTGATTTAATTGTCCAAAGAGTAGAATTTGTCCATGAATCTGACAAGAGAAGTCACCTTATGGACCTTCTTCATGCACAGAGGGCAAATGGTGTTCAGGGGAAGGTACTAATTAGTTTGCTCTGCTAGCACCCAATTTAATGATCATGCAGAAGTTCTTTATGATTCAAGAGTTAAGAGTTAATATTTGAGTATTTCTTGTTATGTGACCATTGCTCTTTCTCCCCTGGAACATTGCAGCAAGCTCTTACGTTAGTTTTTGTTGAGACCAAAAAAGGAGCAGATTCACTAGAGCATTGGTTATGCACGAATAGTTTTCCTGCAACTACCATTCATGGAGACAGAAGCCAGCAGGTTTGTTTACACACTCTCTCTATGTGATTTTTCCTGTCTTGTACATCAAACTATACTTAAATTGCTAAGATCTTCGATTGCATGCTCGTTGCTTGGCTGTCAAACCCAAAATTTGTTGTTATGGAGATTATCAGGGATATTATAGGGAGTTGATGCTGTAGAACCACATGCACATTATAACATGAACCTTTTTATGCACTCAATAAGTGTTGCTATTCTTTTTGGCTTCCATGGTGGCTTTGAAACCTTAGGAAGTCTTGGTATTGAGAGAATTGAATCTCTGGCATTTTCATGTGAAAATCTACTATTGGACTGTTTTGGATTCCCAGTAATATCCTCAAATCATATATCAATTCAAGATGTTTTTGGGTTTATGCTGTGTTAAGTCGTTTTTGTTTATTTGGGTCAATCACTAGGTTCTGAACTTTTGGTTCACAGGATGATTGCAGTGCTTTTTTATTTGTTGGCTAGCGAACGACAACTTTTCATTGCTAATAAAATATGACTATCTTACATGGTAGTTAAAGCAGAATTATAGATTTGTGGAGAAACTACCATCTAGAGACAGAAAGTGCAGACTAAGTCCAATTCTTGGATACTTCCAGCTTTTTTAAATGCTAATTTTAGATAAATAGTGCCTGCTATTTACCATTATGTTCTTCATGTGTTGTTAATAGATGCATATTATTGCATTTTACAGGAAAGAGAACAAGCACTACGGTCATTTAAAAGTGGTGCTACCCCAATCCTGGTTGCGACAGATGTCGCAGCTCGTGGTCTTGATATCCCTCATGTTGCACATGTCGTGAACTTTGACCTTCCAAATGACATTGATGATTATGTTCATCGGATTGGACGAACTGGGCGTGCTGGGAAAACTGGTTTAGCTACTGCCTTCTTCAATGAGAATAATGGATCACTGGCAAGGCCATTAGCAGATCTAATGCAAGAAGCAAATCAAGAAGTACCTGCTTGGCTCTCTCGCTTTGCAGCTCGTTCTTCTTTTGGAGGGAGGAATCGTCGTTCTGGGGGTGTTCGATTTGGTGCCCGTGATTTTAGGAGGGATTCCTCTTTTAATAGAGGTGGTTCCGATAATTACTATGGCAACAGCAGCAGTGGATATAGCGCTTCTGGTGGATATGGTGGAGGTGGAGGATATACCAGTGCATGGGATTGAAATCCCATAATTTACAGTACTTTTGAGTGTCTAATATAGCAGACCTTCCCCACTTCATAGGTACCATTTTCTGTTTTATTTTATGCTGTTGTCTTGTTTCTAGTAATCTTAGTTGTCGTTTTATACTAAAGTAGAAGAGTTATCATTGTTACAAGTGCGGGGAAAGGTCAGTCTGGTGTCTGTATCACAGGAATAGAAGTGTTTAATGTGTTAGCAGGTGTTGTTGGAGAGATTCTAACCAAATAGGTGTTACTTACTCCTCTCCTTTTGTTATCTTTACTCTTTGCTGGTAATTTTGTTAGGTGATGGGTTGTAGAATATGTATTTGGAGAGAGGGAGGGTTTGTGGTTTAGAGCACTTCTTTTTTATCTCATAGGCATATTCTTTTCAACCCATTTTGTGGGGCAAAAAATTAAGGAGGCACGCTGTCTTTACCCTTTTCTTTTTCAATCTTCCCCCCTGAAAGGCGTTTAAGCCCTTCTGTAATATTTCAGTAGAATAAATTACTGAGCTTTATTGGAAATGAACTTTTATTTATAGCTGAACCCATCTTTGTGCTGGTAGAATTGGTACATGCCTACTTGATCAATTGTTTCTTGAGTTCAGCTCTATTGTTCTGCCTGGCTATAATGATCATTGCTTTTAATTTTGTCATGAGATTCTTTTCATACCTACAATCTGCCGTGTTGATTTGACTAATTGTGGAAATACAATGGATGCTGGATTTGTAGCCGGAAGATTAGACTTTAATTAAGAATGCATTGATGCAATTACAGAGTTTTTGAATGGGTTATCTCCCATCCCGGTGGTGGATGCTAGTTTCCTACCAATATCTAAAGTTGCCAGGGACACAAGTTTGCTGTGTTTGAACCCCCCGTAGGAAACTTCGCTCTCCCATTTGTTCTCTTGGTCTCCATTGCATAGAAAGAACAGAAGGGGGGCAACAAAGAATGTCGCTAGCCAGAAAATGTCGGTTGCCTTCACTGAGCAGCAGAGCTTATGTATTGTGGTCAAACGAACCTCTAAAGACAGACTTGAGCGCACCACAAAATATGACAAAGTAGTGAAACAAACAACATGAGAAAGCAAATTCCCATGTGGTAAATGGGCCCAAAACAAAATTTTGTTTGGAAACTACCACAGCAGGAATCTGGAGGACAGAATGGAAGGAAAGGAGATCCTGAGAAGTGGTTTAGAAGAAAAACAGGATGGTGTTTTTGACTGGTGAATTTCATTGGGGTTAATCTCCTTGACATGTGCATATGAGCCAAAAGGAGCAGCAAGTACATTTTGTATTTTGTATTCTATTCTTATCACTATCTCCAGCCTCAAACGATGTTTAAAGTTGCCTTATTAAATGCTACACCCTCATGAGTCTTACCCCATGTTGAAGGCAATTTCGAACCCAACAAAATGTAGTTTTCAGTCATTTGGTTTTCCGTTTGGAGTGAAGTTTCTTCTATTGGGATGAGGGGTCTGGCAAACCTCAGCAGTGGGACTCGGTCATCTATTTCTTTCTTTTCTTTCCTCTCTCTCTCTCTTTTTTTTATTCTAAAGTGAGTGCATATTTTGCAGAAAGTTAAGCATATCAACATCAGGCCTCGCAAATTTAATATTTTCTTGTTTCTATGGGAGGATTTCAAACTGTAGACTTTCAAGTCAATTTCTTTGTAAATTTTAAAATATTTAATGTAAACAATATATATTTGACTAAAATGGTGCCACACACTCCATAATTTTAAACTTAAAACTTTTTTTTGGATGCAACATTATATGTATTTTTTATTATAAATTACACAATAAAAAATAATAATTTTTTATTTCTTCGTGCATTCTACACACGTTCCCAACTCAATTGGGCCACTTTAATCGTTACCACAAAATAGATTGTTTTTAATTCAATGTTTTCATTAAAAAGAAATGTAAATTATTAAGATAGAAAAAAAATTAAGTTTTGAGTTTGAATTAGTTTATAGTTAAGTTAAAAATTAAAATGGGTTTATTATGCAATTGAAGATCAAAAAAATTCCTTAGTAAATTAACATAAAAAGGGCCTTATAAAAGATATTTTTTATCCTTCTAAAGTCATTTTCTAAATGAAAAAACACATTTAAAAAAGATAAAAAATAAAATAAAATCGAGGTAAAGCCGAAAAATTCCAAAGGAAATATGGGTGAAGTTGGTGTAACATGTAAATCCATGGGTTAGCTAGCTGTACTCTTGAGCCAATGAGAGAAACTCAAAGACAAAAGACCCAGTTCTAGAGAGAGAAATAGAGAGGAGAAGACTGTGGAACTCACATTTTGTTTTTCTTGCAAAGAAGTTCCCTTTGGTGTGTATCTTTGTCTGTATTTGCAGATGTTTGTGGAAAAAGGGGAAGACAAACGGCAAGAAAAACTTATTATTCGGCGGATCAGATTCTAGTGTTGAATCTCAATTGGGTCTCGATCTAAGCTTCTAAAAAGCTCTTCTCTTTTTCCTTTTCAAGCTTCGATTTTGATTCTCTCTCTATGAATCTGTGCTGCTAAACATGGACCAATCTGTTCCCCGACGCTCCCCTAATGCTCAAAGGGTGTTTCGAGTTCAAGCTCCACTGGTAAGCCTCAGATTTTCCTTTTCCATTTCGTTTCCCCTAATGTTTCCAGAGCCTGTAAGATTTTACAGCTTCAGGTTGGTGAATTTTCGGCTAAATGTGCTATATTTCTTGCAATTTTGCTAATTGTGATGAATATAAGGGTTTCGGGACCTGCCTGGTGATTTCTTGCATTTCCTGTTTCTGGGGTTTTGTTTCTACGAGGTTTGAAGATACCCAGATAGGGAATTTTAGTTAATTATACCTTTTAGACTCTGATGGGCTTATTGTGTTTGATAATTATTTTCTTCTTTGAGTATTCTGTTTTATGAGTTTTAGAGCACCCATCTGATGCCGGTTACCTGAATGCTTTGGGTGATTTCTGGATTTCTTTATTACAGATCATCTTCACATTCTTGATTGGTTGTTCTTTCTTTCACGAATTTTTCTTTGATTTCTGATAAAAATTTGTTCAAATTAGACTTTTTGAGGTGAATTTAGAATTTGATGAGATGAGCATATGTTTGTGGATCATTTCCTGTTTTACTTCCATTATAGCCAGCAATTTTGCTTGTTGAGTACTTAACTTGATGAATTTTGGTTAAAGTTTGCATTTTAAAATATTGGATTCTATTTTTCTGGGTTTCCCCTTCATTTCTAGATGTGATTGCCCCTGTTTCAAATGATAATTGAAATTTTGTTTTGTTTGCTATTTGACTTTGCTTTAGTTATAATTCTGTCACACTTTAGTGAATATTAATGAAATTGGAGTATTTGTAGGATAATCAATCAAAACAGTAGTGCTGAGCAGCTTGTTCTCCTGCTTCAGTAACTTATTAATTTGGCAACAGTGTCATAAAAAAAAAAAAAAGGAAGTACGGAACTCATAAGTTGTTTGGAAGGAACATTGTGTACAAACCCATAGAGAAGTGTCATTGTTTTCAATGGCGTTTTGCAGACTGACACAAATTCATGTATAACTTGCGGCTTTATGCTTTATTTCATTTTAAAGTCTGGTTTTTGTTCCTTTTTCATTTCTTACATGTAAAGTTTTGCAGGTTGATTCTGTTTCATGTTATTGCAAAGTAGATTCTGGCCTAAAGACAGTTGCGGAAGCAAGGAAATTTGTCCCTGGATCAAAGCTCTGTATCCAGCCTGACATCAACCCCAATGCACATAAAAGCAAAAACTCACGTAGAGAGAGGTCTAGAGTACAGTCGCCACTCCTGCCTGGCCTTCCTGATGATCTTGCCATTGCATGTCTGATTCGAGTTCCTCGTGCTGAACACCGTAATCTTCGTTTAGTTTGTAGGAGATGGTCTCGCCTCCTGGCTGGCAACTTCTTTTACTCTCTTCGGAAAAGTCTTGGAATGGCAGAAGAATGGGTTTATGTCTTCAAGCGAGACCGTGATGGAAAGATATCGTGGAATGCTTTTGACCCTATCTATCAGCTCTGGCAGCCACTTCCTCCAGTCCCAAAAGAGTACTCTGAGGCCCTTGGTTTTGGTTGTGCTGTTTTAAGCGGTTGTCACCTATACTTGTTTGGAGGGAAGGATCCACTAAGGGGGTCCATGAGACGTGTCATCTTTTATAATGGCAGGACAAACAAGTGGCATCGGGCACCAGATATGCTTAGAAAACGTCATTTCTTTGGTTCGTGCGTCATAAATAACTGTCTTTATGTGGCTGGTGGTGAATGTGAAGGACTTCAAAGGACTCTACGTTCTGCTGAAGTTTATGATCCTAACAGAAACAGATGGAGTTTCATTACAGACATGAGCACTGCTATGGTACCCTTCATTGGTGTTGTTTATGATGGAAAGTGGTTTCTTAAGGGTCTGGGGTCACACCGAGAGGTCATGAGTGAAGCCTATGATCCTAAAACTAATACCTGGACTCCAGTCAGTGATGGGCTGATTGATGGTTGGCGTAACCCTAGCATCTCTCTGAATGGACGGCTCTATGCCCTGGATTGCCGGGATGGGTGCAAGCTGAGGGTTTATGATGAAGCCACAGATTCATGGAACAAATTTATTGATAGTAACCTCCATCTAGGAAGCTCCCAGGCTTTAGAGGCTGCTGCTCTTGTTCCCCTTAATGGGAAGCTTTGCATCATCCGTAATAATATGAGCATAAGTCTGGTTGATGTTTCCAGTCCTAATAAACATGTTGAAAGTAACCCTCACCTTTGGGAAAATATTGCTGGAAGAGGTCATTTCAGGACTCTTTTTACAAACATATGGTCAAGTATAGCAGGGCGAGGTGGTTTGAAGAGCCATATTGTGCATTGTCAGGTGCTTCAAGCATGAGATACATAATTCATTTTTCTCAATTCATGCAATTTGTTTAGATTTGTCATGCTGTGAATCAGATGACAAATGTTTCATTTGTTCTAGTTCACCAACATTTGGGGTTCTGTCCCTTGAATCAGAAGGCTGCCAATACTCTTCATTACCATTCCCAAAGTTTATATGCAGAAATTGATATCCAAGGTGATTTCACCTGGTGAATTCTATGACGTCCACATTACAGGCGTTCTGCTTCTAGTTGAGGAGTGATGAGATGATAATAGTGAAGGGTGCCCTTGAAGTACCACAGAGAAACATTTATGGCCTCTCTGAAGGACCTGATACTGGACCCTGATGGTGCTTTAATATTGTAAAGCTGCACAACTTGAGGCAGTTTGATGTTGATCCCGGCTATAGAACTTTGAGATCGTTTTATTTCTTTACATTAGTGAAGATAGCTGATACCTGTAAATCTTTTTATTTGGCTGTAGGTCTCGTCTTTCTCTCTGTTTCCCTTTCCTTTTTCTTTCCTTTTTGGTGGGTCTTATCTCTGTAGCCTCGAATCTCTGAGGCGCTTTCTGTTTGTAAATGGTTTATTTTACAATGAATCAATATATGGTCGCATCGTTTAATGTTTCCTGATTGTATTTAAATCTCAAGATGGAATAAGCAACAAAGGTACAGCTTTTTTCATTTTGCTATCGGGACTCTTAGCACTCCAAACGAAAACATGAAATTACTAATGACAGGAAAACAACTTTTATTCATTACTACTCTCAAGTACTTCCAGTTAAACTGCACAACTGACTTCTGTTACGAACCCGTTATTTGTTGATATGATAACACATATCTCTTAACAGTTTAGCCGCTTGAGCACTCATCTACTGATAGTACTTGACTGACTCCTCCCTCTGAATCTTGAGGTGATTGCGGAAGTTCATGATGAAAGCACCAGCCTGTTTGTTTATATCATCGTTCTCGTCGTTGCTCCATTTTCTCTCCTCCATTCCTTTCTTCTTTGCATCACTCTCCTTGTAATGCCTTTGAAGGTTAACAATGAAAACCTCTCTGTCATACTCCATTCTTCAAGATATCCTTGAGTTTCCTAACTAGGGAGAGAAACTAAGAGAGACAAAGGAAGGGGTGAGAGTTTTTTCAAACTTCCTAACCCTGAATTTTGATGATAAGGGGAAAACAAAATCCTTGCATTTATAGAGGCACAATCTTAGTTTAGAAGAATGAGTTTGGCATGAAAAAAGTTAATTGCAACAGTGAACCCAGAATCATTTAGTTAATAAACCAATTACAGGTGAAGAATCATTTTTTAGTCTGTTCTCCACGAAGAAATATTCCAAAGTTCTAACTTTTCCTTAAGTTAAATAATTTCATTGGTTAATTCCCCAGAAGCACACATAATGATGGATTAGAAGACACTGGAGAGAGCATAATTGCTTGTGAAACTCATTTGATTCGTTAGCTTTAAGCCAAATGTTTTTTAAAACATGTTGGTGAGGTTTCAAAATGGAGTAATTCTCAAGCAATATCATATATTATCATTTAAGATTAGTGATTTTACAGTTAATATAAAGTTCATTCTCCATATCAGAATCCCCATTACTCTCATTTATTCACATGTATCTCTCTATCAACAGAGATTTGCACTCTCTTGAACATACTTGAAAATCTTATGAACAACAGCAATCAAGGAAATAAAATATACTTGATGGAGCATAAACAACATAGAATATTTCACTTGCTTCCAGGAGATAATTGCTCGATGCCTTTGAATGTCGAATCTGTCACAACTAGTAAAAGATATTACTAAAAAATGAGATGAACCTTACATATTAATGTCATTTTCTTTTGATGTAGTTCCATGTCCAGTCTGTTAATGAGCAAATTTTCATAGTGTGCCTTAGAAAACAAGCATGAACAGAAACATCCATTTTTTTTTATTTTTCTGCAGCCAAGATGCTCAGAGTCCTTTATTCTTTTTGGATGGAGAAGTCTGATGTCAATGCCTAAAAGAGAAGTGAGTGCAATTTTTTCAAAATACTTTGTAAACACGTGATTTACTGTGACAGATATTCTTTGTATCCAATTTTCACATATTTGACTCTTCCTGCATTTCCTTTGGCCCCATTTTCTTCAAGATTCTTGCTTGATAGAGATGGGCTTGCATTTGTCTTCTTCTTCTTCTTCTTCTTTTGCTCTGAACATGGGCAATTTAGGGGGAAAGGAAAGGGGTAATTTTAACAAGTGATTGACTTTGACTCCCCCCTTATGCCCTAAAGTTTTTGGGCTTAGGGAATGAAGCGATTGATCCGATGGGCCTGGTTCGGGCTTGCATTTGTCCCTTGTCCTGCCTTTGAACTTCATTTGGTTCATATCTTCTTTGTAGAGAACATATGGTAAGTTGCCCAACATTAAGTGACTTAGTGGTCATACTTTGGAGAGAACGTGTTAAATCATGAAGTTCTGGATTCTACACTTAGGGACTATTAATTTTCTACCCAAAAATTTCCTAAGTTCAAAA